TTTAAGCATTCTTGAATTTTTTAATGGCAAAACGTGAAGAATGAGAGTTGTCAATGTTTTAGTATCGTTCCTTCGAAATTTCACCTTACATTGCTTTTACAGCTGTATTTACAAATCTAGATTTTGTGGCAATTGGTCTCCTATCTTGAGTGGCATAACACAGGCATTTTCAATGTTTAATTGGGATTACAAACCAACCTCTATATGTAGAAGATCACGTATCTCCCAAAGATTGTCCTCATTAACTTCTTGACCACAATTTTTAGTGAGGTTTTTGAGTAGATTTACCACCTAAAACAATTTTTTAGGCCTTTTCAAAAATTACCGTAAATAGCGAGATTATCTTGTAGAAGAAATGATTTCGGGAAGTATGTGGTTCAACAGCAAAAATGTCTAGGATTTTTCCTCAAAAAGCAAAAGTTGTTTTATAGATTTCTAATGCACTCCATCTAAGGTAGGCTCTAATTTTTTTCGACTCACTCTGTCTTGGCTGAGATACGTTTTGACTTCTTCTAATTCCTTTGCCATCTTCCATATTCGGTCACGCCGAGCGCAGCGATCATTAGCAATAATGACCTAGAAAACATTGATAATTATTTTTCTCTTGAAATTCTCAGAAATGCCGAGTATTGAGGACTGATGACTATTTTGAATTTAAACGAACTTGCATACTACATTGTTTAAGTCAAAAATTGAGGGACCTTAGAAATTGCTGCGCAAAGAATACTATCGACTCAAATTTCTGATTGCCCAGAAAATGGCTTATAGTAAATACAATTGTAAAGCCTACATAATCAGGGCGATGCACTGTGTGCACGGGAATTGGCACATATCCTTTCGGCCAGCCTGATATGCCGGGATAGTCAACACCTTCAATACTGTTCGTGTTGTTCACACTATACATGCCCAGTACATTTGCCATCGCCGACACTATGGTCCTATTGTAATCAGAAGAACGAATGTAAATCTGTAAATGTGAAAATGAAGTTACAACTTTATCTGGTCAAGTTGACCTAGATACATAAATGGCTTTAGCTTCTGTCTAATTTCCTGAGAGTCAACATTGCTAGTACTAAAAGTTGTCTTA